GCCCCGGGCCGGTTGCCGCTTTACCCTCCGCCGGCGCTTTTAGGTACCGTACCGGGGGTGGAAGTCGGAGACGAGTTCTTCTACCGCATTGAACTCGCCATAGTCCGGCTCCACCGGCCAATGGAGAATGGCATCGACTACGATACCAACTCCGGTCTGGCCACAAGCATCGTGGTCTCCGGCAAGTACATGGATAGGTGGAACATAACGGATGGGTTGCTGACGTACAGCGGCATGGGAGGGTATGGGGGGAGGAGGGCGGAGCCAAGGGATCAGAAAATGGAGAAGGGGAATCTGGCGATGAAGAGGAGTGTGGAGGCGAGGAAGCCGGTGAGGGTGATATATGGAATCAGGGAGTTCAAGAGGGATACGGCGTATGTGATTTTCTATGACGGGTTGTACATAGTGGAGGGGAGGAGGAGGGTGTTTGGGAGCAATGATTGCTTCTCGTTTGAGTTTCAGTTGAGGAGGATTGAAGGCCAGCCGCATTGTCGCAAATGGGAGGCGCAGTTGGAGTGAGTTCCTTTTTTCTGTTTTTTCATGGTATTTGTTTATGCTTTAGTGTATGCTGATTTGATGTTGTTTTTGATGATTTTGAAGGAAGAAGACGATTTGGCAAAGGAAGAAGCTTCAGAATGGTTGTGATTCAGGGAAGGGATTGCTAGTCAAGTAAATTTTTTGTTTTTTTTTGTTTTTTGACATCTGACGAAGGTTTGATGTGTAATTAATCACTTTCTTTTTTAGTTGTTTATACGTTTGCAGGGGGAGATAGTGACTCATTTGGTTTTTTTTTTGTTAGTATTTAAACTATGAGCGAAATTTTGATAGGAAAATGATCAATAAAAAATTTGCACTTTAAATTATTGCTTTTTTAAGAATTTGACGATTCCAGACAGATGGGGTTGATTTATAAATATCAGGAAATTGTTTTTAGTAAATTTGACTTTTTTCCTAATTTTTTTGGCAATTATTTATTTATTTTATTTGAGCAATAAATACTGCTCACAATGCCTCACTTGTAAGGTCAGGAAAAATTGTACATCAGGACTTCTAATGTGCGGCTACGTTCGGATTGGATTATTTGATTGTGTTACGAGAATATTTCATTTGCATTATTTGTAAAAACTGTGTGTTATTCGAGTATTATATGGTGTTATTCGATTATTTTGCGGTGTTATTGAAATATTCCATCGAGTTACTTGATTTGGGGCTTAAGTGTTATTGGAATATTCCCCCGAATTATTTGATTGTGGGCTGTGTTGTTTTAACAACATAGTGAAAATTAAATTAACACGGGGAATATGTCGAATAACATAGCCTCAAATCAAGCAATGCGATAGAATATTCCAAAAACACCGTAAAATAATCGAATATCATCATATAATACTCGAATAACACATTATTTTTACAAATAATGCAGACGGGATATTTCCGTAACACAGCCGGATATTTCAATCCAAACGTAGCTCTATGTTAGCAATCCTGATGTAATATTTTCCCCAGAGCTCGTCATACATTAAATTATTTAATTTTGGTATTCAGTAGAGCAGGAACATGCAATTGG